GCCTACCGAGGCTTCTTTGTTAAGTCTGCCAGCAAGTGTCGAGGGGCGAGAAATTGCAGAAGGGCGCATCACCGTTCTGTTTACCACCAATGCCTCCAGTCACCTGTAAACCAAAGTTAGCTAATTGATTCCACAGCCTGCAAGCACACACCTACAAGTATGGACACTGACCAAGCTAAATATTCACTGGCTGACGCTTGCGTAAGGCATGGATGTTCACTGCTGTCCCTCTCTCTTGGTTTGACGACTGTTTCGTTCCCGGCGTCAAAGTGGGCACCTTAGAATGTTCCAATTCAACATTGTTGCTCCTTAACTTTCTTACCAGGTTACTACTTCTGTTGGATTGTCTGCCCCAACGTAAAAAGTGGTCTTCTTCCTCCCAACCTAAAATCGTTAATCAACCCATATGGACCAGGGTTGATATACAAACGTTAAGGCTGCGTCTCTCCTGCAAAAGTTCCAAGCTCTGAACAACTGTGCCAACCACCGAAGGATGAGTTCGTAACCTGGGTGACACCGATGGCGAAATTTCTGACAAGGAAAGAAAGGATTACCGTGTAAGAGTTCGCATCAAACGGTTTGGAAGAATTCAAGCGTCCAAAAGCTGGTGATTTCTTGGTGGGCAAGTCTGGGAGAAAGCTGTCTCAGCATGATTCTTCACACACATAGCGGCATGTGTTTTGAGTATCAGGTGGAGGCAGAGTCAACCTGTGACTGGTGTTGGTTCAGTCTGTTGCGAGCAGTGGACGCCTGAAGCTGTGCAGTTTAGCTGCTTCCAAGGCTTCTCCAGGAGCCACCACTTGAATATTATGGAGGTGATCAAGCGGGGATCCTGGGGTGACTGCGGCGAGATGTTGGAAGACGGCGTCAGTGAAGAATGTAGCCAAGTTTGTGCATCAACCTGAGAAGAACACAAATTAGCATGGTAATGTTAAGGATGCCAGCCAATTTGCAGAGAAACTGAGCTCATCCTTTCCAACTACCTGACAATCCAACTTGGTATGAAGTCTTTAATAACCATCTGGCAAAGGTGTGGGCAGTACATCACAATGTATCACCCCGAACACATCAACACTAGCCATCAGCAGCCCAACATCACGGACTTCGTCACCGCAACAGCCACAGCCAGCCCAAGTCAGTGACGCGGTGACGGTGATGTTGACTTTGAGGGATTTGGCCGGAAGCCCTGACAACTGTAGTGGATAGTGAGCTGATGGTCCTACAGAGGGGCCACTAATCTGCCCTCTGCCTCAGAAATCAGCGCCGCTCACGTATGCGATCTATTCTTCTACTAACGTAAGTGTTAAACACCTTTATTTTTCACCTGAGGGCCAGTAATCTGCCCTCTGCCTCGAATCAGCCCCCATCAACGATGTCGATCCATCTCTTCTACTAACGTATGTTAAACCTTACCTTTATTTGTCTACAACCAGTGTGTTAAACTTGATTTTATTTTTTACCTGGTAAAGTATACTATTTTTTATTGATATTTCATCAAAACATTTGAGAATCGCCCAGTCTCTATTTCAATAATCCCATATGTTCTGTTAACACTTTTCTCGTTTACGCTGGACCTCCACGGGTCAATTGACCGTAATGCAAACCACTTTTATGTATATATATATATATATATATATATATATATATATATATATGTATATATATATATATATATATATATATATATATATATATATATATATATATATATATATATATATATATATATATATATATATATATATATATATTTATATATAATAATAATAATAGTAGTACCCCATTTTACTTGCAAATTGAACTCCACGGGGACCGTGAGTGAAAACCGCGTAAAGTGAACAACAGAACATATGCGATTAATTCCAATAGAGACTGACACGACCCCCAAACTCCACTTTTTCCGACACAATACCTATGTTGTAGTAAAAATAACATCTTAATTTTATGATGGTATGCACATACAATTAATATATAAGAGAAATACAGTCGCCAGGTTAATGTCCATTCAAATAATGGACTCAACTCCCCCTCCCCTCCCCCCTCTTCCCAGCTCACTGGCTCCTACCTCTCTGAGAAATATTTGGGTGAAAACACTAGATTTTAACGTATAGTAATAAATAATACCTCAGACTAAAGTTAGGATAATATAATTGACATTTCTGGATTTCTTGCATGTCAGAGAATATTTTGAATGTAAACTTCATATATTTTGCACAAAAGATAAAATATTTGCTTTGTGTAAACCAAATTATTACATTAGATCTAAATTTTGTATGTCTAATGCAAAATCCATGATGTTTATATTCAAAATGATCATCATATTGTAAGAATTCCAGCAATGTAAATTATATTCTGGCTGGGTAATTTGCATAAATTTTATGAGCTAAAACAAATATCTTCAGTTAATAAAAAAACTAAATATTCTTCACGACACTATCTGTCAATCAAAATACCCCACCTTACCTCCCCCCCTTTTCACACCACGCCAGCTGGGTCGGTCCGTCCCAACCCTCCCCCCCCCCACACCCCCACCTTCCCTCCCTACCAGAGAAATGTTTGGGAGAAAACAGTATATATACATTTTTAGTAATAAATAATACCTCAGACTAAAGTTAGGATAATAAATTGACATTTCTGGATTCCTTGCAGGTCAGGGAATATTTTGAATGTAAACTTCATATATTTTGCACAAAAGATAAAATATTTGCTTTGTGTAAACCAAATTATTACATTGGCTCTAAAATTTGTACAGTCAACCCTCGCTTTACGTGGTCCCACATTCCACGTTTCCACGTTTACGCAGTACCCTGCCGAAACCGAAATGCTCACATTCCGCGGTGCGTGTACCCCTTTATGCAGGTGAAGTATAATTTTTTTATTTAGCTCATAAAATTCATATACATTATCCGGCCAGAATATAATTTACAATGCTGGAATTCTTACAATTTGATGATCATTTTGAATATAAACATCATAGATTTTGCATTAGACATACAAATTTTAGATCTAATGTTTACTCTGAGTAAATATGTTATCTTTTGTGCAAAATATATGACATTTATATTCAAAATATTCCTGGTCTTACAAGGAATCCAGCAATGTCAATTATATTATCCTAACTTTAGTCTGAGGTATTATTTATTACTAAAAATGTAAATATTCTGGTTTTCCCACACATTTATCTGGTAGGGAGGGACCGACCGACCATCTAGCACGGTGTGAAGAATATATATTTTTTTTTTATTAACTGAAGATATTTGTTTTAGCTCATAAAATTCATACAAATTACCCGGCCAGAATATAATTTACATTGCTGGAATTCTTACAACTTGATGATCATTTTGAATATAAACATCATAGATTTTGCATTAGACATACAAATTTTAGATCTAAAGTTTACTCTGAGTAAATATGTTATCTTTTGTGCAAAATATATGACATTTATATTCAAAATATTCCTGGTCTTACAAGGAATCCAGCAATGTCAATTATATTATCCTAACTTTAGTTTGAGGTATTATTTATTACCATACCTTAAAATCTAGTGGTTTTCCCTAAAAAATTTCTCCGAGGGAAGAGCCAGCAAGTGTAGTGTGAGAAGAGGGGGAGGGAGTCGAGTCCATTACAGATAGACCCCGACTTACGACGGGGTTAGGGACCCAAATCCAGGTCGTAAGTCCGACATGGTCGTAAGTCCGATATAGATATAAAAAAAAATAAATAAATAAATAAATAAATAAATAAATAAATAATCTACAATGAAATACAGTACAGAAAAAGTAATGAATAATGAGGAATGGATACAGTACAGTGAAAGTAATAAATAATAAGGAATGGTTACAGTGTGACTGAGCACTTACCGTTAATGTAGTCAGCTGAATGCACATGGGGCCCCCATAATTTTCTTATTATACATGGAGACTACATTAACTGGAAACGTTTCGGTTTAGAAAATGCGTGTCATTTAAAAAAAAAAAAAAAAAAAAAATTTTAATAAAAAATCTGAGGCGGTCGTAAGTCCCGACGGTCATAAGTCGTAGCAGTCGTAAGTCGGGGTCTGTCTGTATTTGAATGGACATTAACTTGGCGACTGTATTTCTCTATTTCTCTTAAGTATTAATTGTGTGCATGTACCATCATAAAATTAAGATGTTATTTTTACTAGAACATAGGTATTGTGTCGGAAAAAGTGGAGTTTGGGGGTCAGCCGGTCTCTATTTCATTTAATCCCATATGTTATGTTGTTCACTTTACTCGTTTCTCACTTTCCGCGGTACCCTGTGGGTTGAATTAACCGCGTAAAGTGAGGGTTCACTGTATGTCTAATGCAAAATCCATGATGTTTATATTCAAAATGATCATCATATTGTAAGAATTCCAGCAATGTAAATTATATTCTGGCCAGATAATTTGTATGAATTTTATGAGCTAAGTAAAAAATTATACTTCACCCGCGGGAGAAAGATGCTACCCCTCAGCCTTCCACTTCAAAAAGGAGAGAGGATTTTCTTATTGGAGAATCTGTCAGTCCAGAGATTCCTGACATTATTATGGAAGGTGACTCGCCTTCCTAGAAGCAGTAAAATGCTTCTCCTTCACCCCAACTTCCTTCTCCTCCTCCCACTTCAAATTCACATCAGCATCATCAACCAGGAGCCGTCTACATACACACCTCAAAGTAAGTGTACTTTACTGCATTTTTTTTTACTTTGTATGTAATTTTCGGTGAGCTGGAACCAATTACCCAAAATCCCATTGAAACAATGGATTTGGTTAACAAAATTTTTGGTTAACGAACGACCCCCTGGAACAAATTGTGTTCGTTAACCGAGGGACCACTGTACTAGTATTATCTATCTGTAACTGTACTGTAATAGTATTACCTAACGGGTATCTATAACTGTACTAATATTACCTATCTGTAACTGTACCAGAACTAGTATCACCTATCTGTAACTGTACTAGTATTACCTATCTGTAACTGTACTAGTATTACCTACCTGTAACAGCCACTAACTGAGAAATGGAGAGTTGAGTGTCACCAGTCCCTGGAGGCATGTCCAACACGAGGTACCTGAGGTGTCCCCAGGCAGTTCTCAGCAACAGCCTCTGTACTGCAGACATCACCATGGGTCCACGCCACACAACAGCAGCTTTCTCTTCTACTAAGAACCCCATTGACATGCTGTTTATAAGACCTCTACATGTAAATCATCCTCCTGCTAGATATCAACACTTAACTTGTTCATAAAAATATTATTTACATAAAAGTTAAAATGTCATAAATTTTTTGTGCCTAAAGAGAGTTAGCACAAATAATCCTTTCAAACCATCAATAACCGTGTGCTGCCTCCTACAAGAAGAACTAAGTCATGCTCTTGGACAGTAACAGCAGAAACAGTTTCATTCATATTTAAATGGGGAATGAATGCAGTCAAGTTCCCCATAAAAAATTTTCTGTTCCTTGTTCAGTCTATGAAATTGACCAATTGTGTTTACTTTAGGAGACAGGTTATATGATCATCAATTTTTTCTAGACCTTCAAGATGATAACTGACACACAGCAAGGAGCTAACTTAATTCACACTTCTAGACTACAGTAATATCTCCGTTAGCCGGAATCCCTCAAACCCGGAATTCTCTGATTGCCGGAATTGAAATTTTCTCTGAAAATCGTTCCTAAAACCGGAATTTTCCGGAAAATTCTGGCCAACGGAACAATTTTCAGAGGAGCACATTTTCCAGAAAATTCCGGGATGGGGGAGTTTTTTCCGGGTTTGAGAGATGAAAATCAGGAGCATTTTCTAAAATTTCCGAGAAAAAATTTCTTTAACCCGGAAAATTCTGAAAAATTCCGGGGATGAGGGATTTTTTTTCCGGGTTCTAGAGATAATGTCTTGGGAAATTTCTGGAACTTCCAAGAAAATTTTCCGTTACCTGGAAAATTCCAGGGATGAGGGATGTTTTCCGGCTTTGAGAGAGTCGTCTCGTTACTCGGAAATCTCTCATTCCCGGAAGTGCTCTGCACCAATTGTTTCGGTTAACCGCGATATCACTGTACAGGCTGTCCCTGAGTAACGACCTTCCGACTTACCATCACCCGCACTTATGAACGGGATCCCAATACAGGTACAGTCAGCCAAAGATCCAGCGACCCCACCCTAAGTCTCTTACTGGCAATTTTACCTGGCAATACTTGGTAAAGTGAGGCTGTATGTAAAGGTGATTGTGATTGGTGGATCTATTTTCGGCTGCATTACTGTCAGGATAAATAATAAATAATCAAAAGGTAGAATTTTTATAATAATAAACTACGTATTAATTCTTATTTAAGATCATGAGAAGTTTCCAAAAATTTGTATATTTGCTTAAATAATGTAGAAATTATATTAATGAATTGGCTACTCAACTACAACGAGGGGGGATTGCCACAAGATTATTAGATCAATATTTCTTCATTATTTAAGCAAATATAAGAACATTTGGAAACTTCTCATGATCTTAAATAAGAATGAATAGTCTATTATTATAAAAATTCTACCTTTTGATTATTTATTATTTATCCTGACAGTAATGCAGCCGAAAATAGATCCACCAATCACAATCACCTTTACATACAGCCTTACTTTACAAAGTATTGCCAGGTAAAATTGCCAGTACAAGACTCGGGGTGGGGTCACTGGATCTTTGGCCGACTGTACATTCACCACAGAAATTTGATATTAAAATCCCATTTTTTACATTATTTACATCATTATATATTGTTTAACATCACTATATTTAAAGTACAGTAGAACGTCGACATAACATGAGATACGTTCCAAGAGAGGTCGCTTTAAACCGAATTCGCACTAAATCGAAGTGTTGTTTCAATGGAATAACTTAGTTTGGTACTTGAGAGAAACACAAGATACTAAAACGACTGACAGTCTACCCAGATGCACCTCAGCCCATCTCCTAAAATAAACAAAACATTGTTTTTTGTAGTATTATGTTAAAATAAACACTCATAAATTAACTAAAGTAAAATTATGAAACATGAAATGGTCTGTTTACTAGCGATCAACTGATGTGAAGATTGGAGGGGGGGGGGTTATATGTTTGACAGTTGATGCAAAGGTCTAGTGCTTATTTATTTATCTGTTCTTAAGAGTGCCTTTAAGTTTTTCTCTTATAAAATGTCACTGAACTAACATGTTCTGATTAATCTTATTACAAAGGAATAAAAAAATTATCTCGTGCAAAATATGTCGTTTATATTCAAATTATTCACTGTCTTGCAAGGATTCCAGCAATGCAAATTATATTCTCCTAACTTTAGTCTGTGATATTATATAAGATAAAAACTGAGCCTATAACCACCCAACCCTGGGTGGGAAGATGGAGGGGGGAGGAGGGAGGTGACAGTGACACGTTTGACAGTTGGGGCCAAAGGTCTAGTGAAGTATTTATTTGTTTATTTATGTCCTTTAGCTTGAGTTTATGTTTTTTGCTTATAAAATGTCACAGAAGTGACTGAGGAGAATATAATTTACATTTCTGGAATTCTTATAAGATAGTGATTAATTTGAATATAATCATGCTAAAGGTGTAGTTTGCACTGGTCAAAAATTTTAGTAATCATTTAGTACATTATTTTGAGTACAAGTACAGTACAGCTTTGCCCTTAGGACAGAGTAGCGCGCCCAAAAAACATTAGGCGCAAAATTTAAAATATGATGCACCAGATTGACTCGCGCAAAATAGGAAAGATTCGCTTTAAGTTAAAACACTGTCCTTAATTGTGGGTGTCACTTTAAATCAATAATCTTAAATTGAATCGCTTTAAATCAACGTTCTACTGTATTTACATTATTTGTTTTTATACAGTGGTCCCTCAATTAACGAACAGTTCAATTAAAAAAAATTTGGTTAACGAATTAGCTTCCATAAGGATTTTCAGTTCCATTAACGAACAAACCTTCGATTAACGACAGCCTTACGAGAAACAGGCTTTGTTGTGAGCCTCAGCTGATCGGCTAGTCTGCCAATACAGTAATTGATTCTAAGTTTATATTCGTTTCCAGTGGAGTAAATATCAAGAAAGTTGTGCTCTTGAATATTTTTGCATTTTTTTATATTAAAATTATTGGTCATTCTGAAATTTAGTGAACGTATTGATAATATATACCTACAGAACAGGGAACAGTTTTTGTGCTCATCAGTTGATCGAATCACCCACTATTTTTGCATTTTTACATTAAAATTATTGGTCATTCTGAAATTTAGTTAACATATTGATAACATACATTGCAGAAATTATTATGAAACATGAAGAAGGCATTAGAACCAAGGCACTCTGCAAAGAATATGGCATGTCATCATCGACTGCCTCTACAATCAGCTCTTTGATATGTAAACAAAGCTGCTGGGAATATAACATACACACCTAAAAGTAAGTTAAAATACAGTACAGTCAACCCTCGCTTTACGCGGTCCCACATTCCGCGTTTCCATGTTTACGCGGTACTCTGCCGAAACCGGAATGCTCACATTCCACAGTGCGTGTACCCCTTTACGCGGGTGAAGTATAATTTTTTCATTTAGCTCATAAAATTCATACAAATTATCCGGCCAGAATATAATTTACATTGCTGGAATTCTTACAATTTGATGAGCATTTTGAATATAAACATCATAGATTTTGCATTAGACATACAAATTTTAGATCTAATGTAAGTATTTTGTTTACTCTGAGTAAATATGTTATCTTTTGTGCAAAATATATGACATTTATATTCAAAATATTCCTGGTCTTACAAGGAATCCAGCAATGTCAATTATATTATCCTAACTTTAGTCTGAGGTATTATTTATTACTAAAAAGGTAAATATTCTGGTTTCTCCCACACATTTATCTGGTAGTGAGGGTTGGTGGGGGGGAGGGAGGGACCGACCGACCATCTGGCACGGTGTGAAGAATATTTTATTTTTTATTAACTGAAGATATTTGTTTTAGCACATAAAATTCATACAAATTACCCGGCCAGAATATAATTTACATTGCTGGAATTCTTACAATTTGATGATCATTTTGAATATAAACATCATAGATTTTGCATTAGACATACAAATTTTAGATCTAGTGTAAGTACATTTTGTTTACTCTGAGTAAATATGTTATCTTTTGTGCAAAATATATGACATTTATATTCAAACTATTCCTGGTCTTACAAGGAATCCAGCAATGTCAATTATATTACCCTAACTTTAGTTTGAGGCATTATTTATTACTATACCTTAAAATCTAGTGGTTTTCCCCCCAAAATTTCTCAGAGAGGGAAGAGCCAGCGAGTGTAGTGTGAGAAGAGGGGGAGGGAGTTGAGTCCATTATTTGAATGGACATTAACTTGGCGACTGTATATCTCTTAAGTATTAATGGTGTGCATGTATCATCATAAAATTAAGATGTTATTTTTAATAGAACATAGGTATTGTGTCGGAAAAAGTGGAGTTTGGAGTTTGGGAGTCAGCCGGTCTCTATTTCATTTAATCCCATATGTTATGTTGCTCACTTTACGCCTTCTCACTTTCCGCGGTACCCTGTGGGTTGAATTAACCGCATAAAGTGAGGGTTCACTGTACCTGTATTCTATTGTTTTTGTTTTTGTTTTTTTATTGTACAGTATACTGTACTGTACAGTACAGTACTGTATTGTATTTAGTTTATATTTAATGTTTTGTTAATTCTATTACTGGTATATAGTACTTTGTATGTACAGCTCCTCCCCGACTTACGACCTACTCGACTTACGACCTGCCTCAGTCGTACCAAAATTTTGTCAAATTACGTACAGTATTTTCGAGTCACAACGTGAGTACACAGACAAAATTTTCGTTTGTAATTCACTTTAAAATGGCTGGCAAGCTTAAAAGTGAGAGTTCTGTGCTGCTGAGAAGAAAATGAGACACCCATTTTAGATTATCTACGTATTATTTAAGCATTTTCGACTTACGACCATTTCGACTTACGACCTGGATTTGGGTTCCTAACCCCGTTGTAAGTCGGGGAAGAGCTGTATACTTTTTTCTGAGTTGGAACCAATTACCCAATATCCCATTGAAATAATAGATTCAGTTAACGAACGACTCTGTTGACCGAATTGTGTTCCAGCTCACAGAAAAGTACATACAAAGTAAAGCCAA